ATATTTCCCCAGTTTCGCGCATCCGCCGCCCCAAACCAATCAAAAAAACGTGTTTAAACGCACGGCCCCTTAGGGGCGCCGTCACCATGTTTAAGATTCAGTTGGTGAGGAATAGGGCGGCCTCAAACTCTCAACCTGAAACTCTATACCCAAAACCCACGAACGAGAACATCCAGCGATGACGTTTGGATAAAGGAACCTGAGCCTGAAGCCCTAATTGTCCGCAAGGCCAGATGAAAGCACAAGCACAGGCTTTTCGAAGCAATGATATTTCAGGCTAGGTCTCTATGTAAAACACCCAAGCCCTAGACGTAGAACCCGAACGCTGAACCCTAGACCCCACAAATTCCGCGAATTCCGGTTTCCATTTCATGTCATGTGTCATTCTGCGTTCCAGCTGATTCTCCATACATGCCCAACCCTTGAAACCCTAAACCCTGAACCAGCCTGAACCCTAACCAATATCAGTTGAGCCCTGAACCCTTTTTACCTCGGGGCTCCGCGCACTATACCTTCAACCCCAAGCCATTAAACCCTAAACCACTAAACACGCAACTCTAAACCTCTAAACCCCTACACCCCTAAACCCTAAACTCCTAGACCTCAAACACTGAACCCCTAAATTTGCCAAAGCCCCAGACACTGAACCACAAACTCAAGGCCTGAAACCCTAAACCCTATATAACCCCAATATACTATGGAAGTTTCCATTTTCGTTTCCACTATCCCAATATAACCTCAACTCTAAATCCTAAACCCTAAACCCTATATAACCCCATTCTAGTGGTTTCCATTTTCTTTTCCATTATCCCGATATAACCCTAAACCCCAAACCCTCTAATGTTATCCCAATGCGTGCATCGAGCCCCTGTTTTGCCTCTTCATTGGACACGAGAGGGGAGTTGCATCTGAGGTCGAAAAGGCGGCCTTTGGGTTTAGGGTTTAGGGTTTAGGTTTGTAGGGTCTACTGTAGGGGTTTAGGGTTTTTAGGGTTCAGGGGTTTGGGGTTTAGGTGTTTAGGGTTTGGGGGTTTCGGGTTTAGCGTTTGGGGTTTGGTTTTTTGAAGCCAGAGGACTGTTACGTCTGCATAAAGGCACTGGTTTGGAACTCAGAAAGGTTTAGGCAAAAGCAGATCAGAATTGATATGGCAACTGGAATGACATGGGAATTTTTTGGGTTCTAGGAGCGAGGTAGCTAGATCACGAAACAAGCGTCTTCTTGCCTATTGCACCTACAAGGGACTAGAGGACATTACCTTATCTTATCTTGGCTTTTCCGCACAGATTTTACATGCATCCAGGTATTCAAGGAGGTCCCAAGACGTTCTGTCGAATCTCGAAGGCCTGATGCCATAAACCGCACGCCGTGAGTGCACAAACCCTCTCCCTGCTGCTTTGGCCCCCCACCCTAAACCCTAACACCATGGGATTCAGGTTGAACGTGGGCTTCCGGATGGTGAGTAGTAGCAAAAAGAGAGCCATGTTCTTTGGTAGCTTCCATACACGAAGGATTCTCTGGGGGGATGCCTCGCCGGGTCTAGGGATTATATACACATACATATAGGGATGATGGAAAAGAACATGGGAGCTGCTGTACTATAATGGGGTATATACTGGGTATATACATTTAGGGGTCAAAAGCACGACAAAAGGCTTGCAAAAACCCTACGCGTCGGGTGCAGCTAGGATGAGGCTTCGCAATTCTGCGGCTTTGGATTGCTTTGGAAATGTCAGCATGTTGCCTACTAAATACGAGAATTTCCATCAATAGCGACCCAGATATACTGCAATCCACTTTCTCATGGGGACCCCAGAACGGGACCACAGGTTCTTGGAGAAGCCCCAAAATGCACATACAGAGAGAGGTGTTACAAGGGGTGCCTTATGTTTAGGGCTTACTGTTGGAGATCCACATACTGTGCGTATACCATGTGCATGGGTAAGCCCTGCTTCAAGTTCCACGGGACTTCGTAACTACTTATAACCGGGCTTACAACCTTGCGTATGCTTCTCTGCCCCCAAAACGGACTTCTGTAGGTTATCCCAATTATAAATAGGGTTGGAAGACCCGTTTCAAGTATTTACTGAGTCTTATGTATCCCATGAACCCTCAGGTAGGGTAACCTCGGGCATTATCAAATGTGTGCATGAAGCTAACCTGGACATCACAGACTCGAAACGGACAGAAAGGGAAGACAAACTCATCCTGAGTAGTGTCAGTGTCAGCCCTGGATTTAGCAAGAAGGGATTGGGGTATCTTGAAGATGCAGCACAACCTGTGAAGGGGCTACAAAGGAGCGTGGTGGTATCGTGCGATGCTTCGGATAATATTTGTGGGCTGGCCCCACATCTTGGAGATATAACCCCTATAATGTTCCCCTATATATTAGGAGGACCCCCCACCCTGTAATAGTGACTATAAGGGATAGTAGTAACTATATTAGGGTCCTCTTATATTCCTATTATACCACTACTACAGGGTGGGGGATCCT